CCAAAGAAGCTCATTATGAATAAAAAAGACACTCCCATCACTCAGGAAATTCCAAGGATTTTAGGAGCTCTGTGCCAGGAACCAAAGACAAAGACCAAATATATTTCTTATTATAGTCCAGGTACTATTCTAGGTGAAGGGGGTGCAAAGAGATATAAAATATATTTCCAGCCCTCAAGAGATTTAAAATTCAGTTAGAAAGATAGAGAATTAACCATAAATTTGCAATAGGCATTAAAATGACAGAAGAAGCAACAGGAGGGCTGAGGTAATCGGGATGGCTTTAAGGAGATGGGACTTGAGCTGAGGGTTGAAGAAAGTAGACTTCCACATTCAAAAGCCAGATAAACAAGCACTCCAGGCTGAAGGAGCAGCAGAAGTAAAGGTGTGATTTACAGGGCATCTTTCTGAAAAAAAGACCTGAAGATAATCTGTAAGACCCCTTTTGAAAGAGAATGGTGGCCCCAAAGATATGCCCACGTCTTTATCTCCAGAATCTGTGAATAACATATGGCAAAAGGTGTGATTAACTTAGGGATCTTGAGAGGAGGAGCTTATCCTGGATTATCTTGTTCAGCCCTAAATGCAATCCCATGTATTTTAATGAGAGAGAGGCAGAGTGAGTTTTGAGATAGATACACAGAGGGAAAGGTGTGATGAAGACAGAACCAGAAGCTGGAAGAAGCAAGGAACAGATTCTCCCCTAGAGCCTCCAGAGGGAGGGAGTACAGCCCTGCTGACACCTTGACTTTGGACTTCTGGACTCCAGAACTGTAAGAGAAGAAATTTCCATTGTCTTAAACCACCCAATTTGTGGTAATTTGTTACAGCAACCCTAGGAAACTCATAGAGAAACTTTTCAGATCTAAGTTAGACTTCAACCAGATACAGAACTGGCTTGAGAGTGCTTTGAAAGGAGTAAAGTGTCACATAACAAGAGACTTACTAAATGAACATACATATTATGGAATTGAACAGGTCCATCTATAAGGTCTCCTTGTTTTAGTGCATGATCATTTTAGGGCTTATTGTCAAGCCACAAATAATGGTCAATTTTTCTTCTTTCAAAAATATGTCAGCATACACTTGATTTCTATTTGCATTTTTTTTACTAAAACATTAAAATAAAAGATCCTTAAATTATACCACCCATTTTGATCATGGTTTGTGGTTCTTGGAGACTATCTTTACTTTTAGGAAATACAACCTGAAGTGATTAGGAGTAAATTACCATAATGTGTGCAACCCACTTTCAAACGACTCAGAAAGAAAACCATGTATACTGATAGAGAAAGCTAAAGCCACGTTAACAACTGGTGAATCCAGCTGAAGGATACTGTAATATTCTTCCAACTTTCCCATAGGATTGAAATTTTTCAAAATAAATTGAGGGAGATGTTATTTCACCCATTAATGCAAGGGCCACTGCCCAACATGCTTTCCGATGTACTTGACACCGCTAATCATTATTGTGCACTCACTGCACGGCTAGCATTACAGTTCCTCACGCATCACAAACAGATGCTTGTGTTTAATTGTGATGTCCCAATGCAGAGATTCCCAGGCTGAGGATTATGAAATTACAAGCAAAAGTATGAATGCAATATGCATTTTTCTGGGAAGATGTTTTGTGGCTTTCCTCATACTCTCAAAAGAGTCTGTGAGTCAAACTTAAGAACCATTGCTAAAATGCAGAGAACCACAACCCCTCGGGGGTTTGGTTTAATTAAGACAGCACAAAATCAACGTGGTTGTCAAATCCCGCTAGTAACAGCAATCCGGAACACTGAAAGCATAGATGAAGAAAAACCACAGAAAATTTCTAACCTTTCTTTAGAAGTCTTTCAAAAGTGATTTGACTAAATGTCTAGTAGGCTACCTCATGTAGTAGGCTAACTTATGTTTCAGTTTCTTATCTTCTTGCCAATTGTTTTGTAAAAGTAGGGCTGATAGAAGAAATATGTAATCTCACCTAAGACTGTTGAATGGCTACTGACTGGTTCCAGCATAAAATCTGATTCCTTTGCAAGAACTTCATGGTGATATCATCCCCACCACACCTTCACAGTGCCAGGCACTTTAATTGACGTTTTACATATTAGTGTCTTATTTTTCATAACCACCCTCTAATGTAGATATTATCTTCATTTTTTAAGATGAGGAAACTGAGCTTCAGAGAAGTTAAGCACATGGCCACAATATTTGTCTGCTGCAGAGATCCGAAATCCAGCTCTATCTCCTGCAGCCCAGTGTTGATTCAATTATATCACACTGTTGTCATCATTTTTCCACCAAATTGCTAATTCATGACATTTCCAACTTGGTTATTCTTGCAGAGAATTTTAACCTACGTACAGTTTAGTCACTAGTGCTTTCAAACTTTTACACTAGCTCTTCTATTTCTAAACCACCAAAATTACTCTTCACTTTTTTTTTTTTTTTTTTGGTGAGCAAGATTAGCCCTGAGCTAACATCTGTTGCCAGTCCTCCTCTTTTTGCGGAGGAAGACTGGCCCTGAGCTAACATCTGTGCCCATCTTCCTCTATTTTATATGTGGGACACCTGCCACAGCATGGTGTGATAAGCAGCGTGCAGGTCCGCGCCCAGGATCCGAACCCCAGGTACCAAAGCAGAGTGCGCAAACTTAACCACTACGCCACCAGGCCAGCCTCTATTCTTCACTTTTTAAACTTAAACTTTAAAATCACCTCTTCCGAAAAAAAGACTCCCCTGACAAACCCCTTCTGGGCCCCTCACTCTGTCTCTCCCATGGTGTGACAGAGCACTATTCAAAGCCAGAGAATTTTTTGTTTAGATCCTAGGTTTGCCTTGTATTAACAGTGTAACCTTCCGTAAGTCACAAAACTTCCCAAGTGCATCCATCAGGAAAATGGGAGACTCGGAATTTAAAGGTTACAAATTGTCAGTCAGCTACCAAATATAGCCTACAGAAAAGTTTTACTTGGCCAGCAGCATTTTTTCTTAATCCAATAAAATGCCTTTAGATGAAGAATGCACCCTACTGACTGCCACACACCCTACCACTCTCTCTCCTTTTACACAGCTCACCTCTCCTGGTTCGTTGATTTCTACCAGCTGTCTGGTATCTATATGCAATTAGGTTCCCAATTGCTGAAAAATATGATCTCTAAGATTTTACATGGTCATCATGAACATTTTTTATACCTTTTCTACTTAGTTTTCATATAATCATTTCCCCATTAGAAAGTCCAGAATGGGGATTCACAAAATTATATAACTTCAGAACTAGAAAGAGACTTAGAAATCATGTAGCAAAATCCACCGTCTTGTATTACACAGATGAAAAGACTGAAGTCAAACTGCTTAAGTTACCTGCTCAGAGCTTCCCAGTATAAGTCAGTGCAGGACAATATAAATCAACAAAAATTAACAAAATATTCACTTTGTGCAAGATCCTATGCTGGAGTTACAAAGAGAAACAAGAATTGTCCCTCTGTCCAGGAGATACAAGCTAGTAAAGGGCACAGACACATATACGTGAAGCCATTATTCAAAGAACACATGCTGAAAGGAAGGAGAAATTAATTTCTTCCATTTTTAGTGAAATCTGAGAAAATCTTGTGAAGGGGAAACATTTCCACAGATGTTTGAATAATGAGGACTGCTGTTATAGACAGGAAGTGAGGGCACAGCATGAAAAAGCCAAGAAGTAAGTAAATGCACAGCATTTTCAGAAAAAGTAAGTAAACTGGCATGGCTGGGGTGGAGTGATAGAAAATAATCTAAGAAAGCAAAGTGAAGACGAATTCTAAAGGCCAGTGCTTCCCATTTTCTTCTTTAGCCCACCTCTTCATCCCTGACCCAAGAATCTAGGACAGGGCTAAATATAATGGGAATATATTATATTATATTATAAATATATTTATA